ACCTTGCAGTTCAAACGACTTTGCAGTCTGAAGCATTAGCCCACAGCATCACACGATGACTGTGATTAACAACCTTAATCCCCCATTACCATATAAAGTAACAGATTCACAGGTTGTGGAGATTATGGCTTGGACACCAGAGATGTCTTCAAAGAGGAAACCATAGTCTGATTACCACATTCTCCTATGGTTTCAGTTTAAATACATTTTATGTCTTGATATAACCTTATGTAACTGTTTTGAACAGTTTGATGAAAGTCCAAACCTCAAGGGTCAGTGGTTCTGAGAGTCAAGTCCCCTCCACCCAGGCTGCAGCCACTGCACATTTCCTGTCCACACAGCAGCCCTCCAGGAAGACATCGAACCCCACCAAAAGGAATCTCACAAATGTGGAATATCCTAGTTCCTGGGACAGCTTCTGATATGCCTACTACACTGTGACCCTCCCTAAAAAATTAAAGACTGTTCTTCCCTAAGAAAATATCCACAGTGTAATACTCTGGAGATATGCCTTGAGAAACAGAGAAGGTAAATCCCTCATCTGTCCCAAACTACAGGCAAGTTTACTTTCCTCAAGACTGTTTTCTTCTCACATACTTTGTTCCTAGCTCTCCCCACAGCTAGAAAGTTATGAGTTTCTACGTACAGGTATGGAGTTATGAAATACCTGACTGAAGACATAAACCAATCTTCCATTGATTCGGCCGCGTCCAGTGACCACACTGTCTCCAGGAAACTGCCAGAAAAAAATGGAAGAATAAAGGTTAAAAATGCAAATACCTCTTACAATGAGTTCAGCAATTATGCCCCAAGAAAAACAAAATAAAAATGAACAAGTTACAAGTAAGAAATCCCCCCCAAAAGAAAATAGAAAGAAATCCCCCAAGCCTCACCATTCTTCCTAAAAGCAGAATAATCAAGAGGCCCCCCCTTCCCCCGCCCAAAGCCACTACTATTAAATAATCATGGGAAGAATTAGGATATATAAAGGGGCTTTAAAAAGTACAGGGAATATTCCATCATCTTGTGTGGTGCTGCAGAATAAGTAATGGACAACTAACAGCAAGGTTGGTGGGTCAAACCCACCAAATGCTCCTAGGAAATCCTATACAGAGTCGCTATGGGTCAAAACTGACTCGACAGCACTTAACAAAACAAAGAGCATCACACTGAAGAAGAGTGCTGGTGATTCTGACCTCAAAAACACCAAGCCATAAACTTAAAGTATGTCAAAAGAGACAACCAGTCAGCCTTTAAGTGTTCCTGGTCTCTAAACAAGAAGCCTTGGTGGCATGGTGGGTTAACTATTGAGTTGCTAACTGCAAGGTCTGTGGTTAACAGCTTCCAGTCACTCCTTAAGGAAAGGATGAGGCTGTCTGCTTCTGTAAAAATTTAGTCTCGGAAATCCTATGGAGTAGTTCTACTCTGCCTTATAGGGCCACTATGAAATGGAATCAACTCAATGGCAGTGAGGTTTGTTTGGGGGATTTTTTGGTGTTTGGAAAAACCAGAACACAATGGGAAGACTGTTGCTTACAAGTCTATCTTTTTGTACCAACAAGAGGTCTGAAACCACAGCCAGAGACCTATGAACAGAGCAAGAATCACAGCACAGTGTATGAACAGCCCACCCACACTCCATCTGTAGACAAAGATGAGTGGAGTACTGAGAAGCTTAGGAGTGCTTTTACAGAGGTTCTGCAATTTCAGGACCTCAAATCTGAAAAAAACTTAAAATGTACAGGCACACCTTGTTTTACTGTGTTTTAATTTTGCTATACTTCGGACACTGCATTTTCTATGACTTGAAGGTTTATGACAACTTGGCACTGAGCAGCTCCATTTCTGCATTTTTCCGACAGCATGTGCTCATGTCCTGTCTCTGTGTCATATTATGGCAATTCTCATATTTCAAACTTCTTCACAGTGCTATTATTGCACACTTAATACACTACAGTATAGCGTGAACAGAACTTTTATATATACTGGGAAACCAAAAACTTCATGTGACTCGCTTTATAGCGGAAGTCTAGATCCAAACTCATAATAACTCAGATATGTCTGTATTCTGAGTCCCAAAAGAATTCAGAAAAAACAGTATAGACTCATTACTTTAGTGGGTAGGCTGGCACAGCCACAGGTGAAAAATATAGAGATACCTTATTCTTATCAGCAGCCATTCCAAAATCTGCACATCTGTGTTCCACAAACATGTCGCTCTCAACAAAGCTGCCAGGGTCCAGCAAGAGACTGATCCGTTCTCGGGCTGTTAACTTTCCCTATAATGCAACAGAGATCATTCAGTGATACTATCATGGACTTGTAAGCAAAGTAAGGGGAAAGCCGAGGAGAAGGCCAGATTTTGCCCCTTCGTCCTAATGATAAAGCCACTATTTTGTCCCCAAGGCAGACATGCAAATCAGTAAGTATCAGAGGATAAGGAAATCTGGACAGACAGGGTGCTCCAGGAGCCATCCAACTGTGGAAGGCAAATAAGGAAATAAGAGAAGGAAAAGGTGGAGAAGAAATGGGACTAAAGAGAGCCTGCCTGTGGAACAACATTAATTAGCTTCACAAACACCTACTTGAGGCCTACAGAGCATAAAAGAGTATTGGGTATCAGTAGGAAAGAAACTAAAGCAGGCCTGGTGAAGGGTTGGACGCCATACCCCAAGTCTCATAGGCTTGTTCTAGGGAAACCCACAGAAGCACATCTCACCAGGGTCCAGATGACACTCCAAAAAACCCACTACTTCCTGGTTCTCCTCTTGCCTCATCCAGGGGCTTTTCCATCTCCTATTCTCCACTGGAAGGAGCTCTGGTAGCGTAGTGGTTATGAGTCGGGCTGCTAACCTCAAGGCCCACAGGACAAAGATGAGACTTTCTGCTCCAGTAAAGATGTACAGCCTTGGAAACCCTATATAGGGCCACCATGAATCGGAACCAACTCCATGGCACACTATCACCACCATCACCATTCTCCGCTGGGGAGTCCCGGTATGGTACTGTGGGCGAACACACTGGACTGCAACATCAGTTTGAACCACAAGATCAGTGGTTCAAGTTCACCAGCCACTCCTCGGAAACCCTACACAGAATCGCTATGAGTCAGAACCCACTCAACGGCACTTAACAACAACATTTTCCACTGGGAGCTCAGCTTAGAGACACAACATCTGACAGTAATGTAATGATACACTCCACAGAAGGATCTGGCTGAGTAAAAGGGGAATGGGCAGACAACACTGAAAACCTCTCAAGAGAAATAAAAAACGTTTTTTAAGGTGACAAGACTGTAATCTTCCGCCTACAAAAAGCCTTCATGGTTTAGGCTTCACAGCCCTCAATCCCACCCAAACACCCCGGCCAAGTCTCCTGTAAAACCATCTCACACTGGTAAGGGTTTTTTTTTTTAATCTAAAAAAAGTGCTGTTGTTGTTAGGTGCCATTGAGTCAGTTCCAACTCATAGTGACCTCATGCATAACAGAATGAGACACTGCCCACTCCTGTGCCAACCACATAATGACTGTTATGCTTTCAGCAAGCAAAGTTGATCATCTGTATATCACAGATTGTTAATGAGTCTTCCTCCAATCCTAACACCACATTCTTCTTCATACAATCCAGTTTTGTGAATTATTTAACATACGGATTAAGTACAGTAGAAGAATACGACCCTCATTTTAAATCATTCAGTGTTCCCTTGCTCTGTTCAAACCACTGCCTCTTAGTCTATGTACAGGTTCCTATGCACACAGTGAAGTATTCCAGAACACTCATTCCCCTCAATGTTGCCCATAGTTTATCATGATTCACACAACTGAAAGCTTTTGTGTAGTCATTTAAGCACAGGTGAACATCTTTCTGGTATTCAATGCTTTCAGTCAAGATCCATCAGATGTCAACAATGAGGGATATCATTACTCAAGAAGACTGTGTTAAATCAAGGAGACTGTGTTAATCAAGGAGACTGTGTTAAAACAGATAAGCAGGTAATACTATAAACTGTTCCAAAAAGTTTAACAACTTTGCAATTTGGCAATTTTAACAAATTTGCAATTTGTTAAAAATTTGTTCCAAAAATTTTAACAAATTTGCAATTTGGCAATGTATGTCAGAGCTTCTAAAATTTCCTATCTTTTGACCCAGTAATTCCACTATTCTAAGGAAATAGTTCAAATGGCAATCTATTATATGGCAAGAGTCCAAAATAAATTTTAAAGAGAGTGGAACGGCTTTGTATCCAAAGATGCTCATTCAGCATTATAATTAAAAAAAAAAAAAAAATCTAAAACAATCTAAATTTCTCAAAGATTAAGATCATGAGGAAATATTGGCACATTTTAAAAAAAAAAAAAAAATCTAAAACAATCTAAATTTCTCAAAGATTAAGATCATGAGGAAATATTGGCACATTTTAATAAAACATTAACAAACATCTCTACAGATATATAATTTTAATGACTATATACAAATATGCCTTAGAATAGAAAATAAAAAATATGTGTATGTGTGCAAATCATTAGGGTTTTGACCTCTATTTTCTAGTTTTGTAAAATGAGTATTACCTGTGTCATTTAGAAATGATAAAAAAATTTCTACACTATAGAGATGTTCTGAAAAATAACGGTAAGAGTTGACAAATAAAAAGTATCTTCTGACTAGTTTCTTATATCCAGAATCCTCTTTCTGTGGGACTATGAAACTCCATATATATATATATAATTCTATTTAGGTGAACCAGAATAACGTATCTGTTTGTTTGTCCTAGTGTGGTGGTTTGTGTGCTGCTGTGATGCTGGTAGCTATGCTGCGGGTGTTTTACATACTAGCAGGGTCACCCATAGTGGAAAGGTTTCAGCTGAGCTTCCAGAATAGAAGGAGAAATAGGCAGTCCACTCCTGAGGGGATTAGCCAATGAAAACTTTATGAGCAACAATAAAACACTGTCTTACACCATGCCAGAAGATGAGTACTTCAGAACTGGTGGTGGTGGTTATGTGCTGTAGAGTCAGTTCCGACTCACAGTGACCTGCATAGAATTTCTGAGACTATACATCTTTACGGGAACAGAAAGCCTCATCTTTCTCCCAGGAAACTACTGGTAGTTTCAAACTGCTGACCATGAGATTAGCAGCCCGACTCATAACCACTATGCTACCAGAGCTCCATTTACAATACAACTGAGGAAGAGTTGCCACCTCAAAAGAGTCAACTTTTATGATATGGATGGAGCAAGGCTTTCGGGGCCTTCATTTGCTAATGCGGCATGACTCAAAAATAAGAAAAACAGCTGCAAACATCTATTGATAATTGGAATGCAGAATGCACTTAGTATGAATCCAGAAAAGTGGAAGTCATCAAAAATTATATGGATCAATATCCTAGGCATTAGTGTGCTGAAATGGAAAGGTATTGGTCATTTAAAATTAAGACTCTCATACGGTTTAATTTTGCCAGGAAAAATAAATCAAAAAGAAATGGCATCACATTCATCCTCAAAAAGAACACTTCAAGATAGATATATCTTGAAATGCAATGCTATCTGTGACAGGTATTAATCTATATAACTAAAGGAGTCCTGATTTGGCACAATAGGATAAGCACTCAACCTCAAGGTCACTTTGCACCACAAGGTTTGCAGTTCAATCTCAACAGCCACTCCTCGGAAACCCCTATCAGGGCCGCTATGGATCAGAATCAACTCAACAGCACTAACAACAACAAAGATTGGTTAATACAACTATTATTTGAATTTAAGCACCAACCACCAAAGCCAGTAATGATGAAACTGAAGAATTCTACCAACTTCTGCAGACTGAAATTGATCAAACATGCAAGCAAGATGCATTGATAACTGGTAATTGGAATGCAAAAACTGGAAACAAGAGGTGGGATCAGTGGTTGAAAAACATGTCTTTGTTGATAGAAATGATGCTGGAGACTGCAGTACAATTTTGCAAAACTAATGACTTCTTTTTGCAAAAACCTTTTTCAGCAATATAAATGGTGACTATGCGTGGATGTTGCTAAGTGCCGCCGAGTTGATTCCGACCCATAACGACCCTGTATAGGGTTTCCAAGGAGCAGGTGGTGAGCTTGAACTGCCGACCTTGCAGTTCACACGGCTTTGCAATCTGGCGCATTAACCCACAGCGCCACACCAGGACCTGATGAAATACACTGACAACATATGATGGCAGAGACAATGGGGAAGCTAAACATCCCCAAAGCAAAGCCTGAGGCTGACTACGGACATACCATCAGTTAATCATATGCAAATTAAAGCTGAAGCTAACTAAATTTAAAATAAGTCCTTGAGATTCAAAATATGACCTTGAATATATCCCACCTGAATTTAAAGACCATTTCAAAAACAGATTTAATGCATTAGATACTAATGACATCAATAACACTACATATGGAAAGAGCAAAAAGGTCATTAAAAGACAAGAAAAAAATGGAAGTTAGAAGAGGCACTGAAACTGGCTCTTAAAGGTGGATAAGCTAAAGGGATTGTAAAAAATGATGAAGAACTGCACAGGAGAAAATTTCAAAGAAGAGCTCAAAAACAAAGTGCAGTTTTACAGTGAAATGTACAAAGACCTAGAGTTAAAAATTAAACAGGAAGAACATGCTCGGTATTTCTTAAGCTGAAAAAAATTCAAGCTTCACTTATAATACTGAAGGATTTATGGGCAAAATAATGAAAAATGCAGTAAGCATCAAAAGAAGCTGGCAAAAATACAGAGTTACTATACCAAAAAGAAATTGGTTGGCATTCCACCATTTGAAGAGACAACGAAGGATCAAGGTATTTGCATTAAGTCACTGGTCTTTCAGAAGGCTACCATGTGATCACCAACATCATATTTTCTAACTACTGATACTTGCTGTTTCCAACTTTTGCATTCGAATCAGCAGCAATTAGGAATGCATTTAGATTGCATATTTGATTGATTTCCCATTGAAGAACTTGGTAGAATTTTTTAATTTCATTATCTTTTGCTTTAGTGGCTGGTGTTTAAATTTGAAATATAGTCATGTTAACTGGTCTTCCTTATTGTTGTTAAGTGTCGTCAAGTCAGTTCTGATTCATAGCGATCCTGTACAGGGTTTCTGAGGTGTGACTGGTGAGTTTGAACCACTGACCTTATGGTTCAAACTGACATTGCAGTCCAGTGCTTATCTTACAGCACCACATCAGGACTTGGTCTTCCTTGTAGGTGTATAGATAGTATTCTCTCACAGACAACATTGTTCTTCAAGATAGATCTTAAAATGCTATTTGACAATGAATGTGACACCATTCCTCTTCAATTTGTCATTCCCAGCATAGTAAAACATATGACTGTCCAATTAAAAAAGACCAATACCTGTCCATTTTAGCTCACTAATTCCTAGTGCAGTCCATATGCATTCCATTTCATTTTTGACAACTTTCAATTTGCCTACTTTCATGCTTTGTACATGCCATGTTTTGATTATTGTATTATGGATGCTTATAGCTGTATCTTCTCATTTTGAATTGTCTCCCATCAGCAAATGAAGGTCCCAAAAGTTCTGCTCCATCCATGTCATTAATGTCAACTCTACTTTGAGAAGATAGTGCAGTGGTTACGAATTGGGATGTGAACCACAAGGTCAGCAGTTCGAAACTATCCGCTGTTCCACAGGATAAAGATGAGGCTTTCTGTTCCCGTAGAGATTTACAGCCTCGGAAACCCGGTACAGTGTTGCTGAGTTGGAACCGACTCCACGGCACATAAGCACCACCACCTACTTTGAGGAGGCAGCTCTTTTCCAGTCATATTCTGAGTGCCTTCCAACCTAAAGTGCTCGTCCTCCAGCACTGTATTAGACAATGTTACATTGCTATTCATAGGATTTTCAGTGGCTTGTCCTTCATAAGTGGTCCGCCTCTCCTTCTTCCTAATCTTTGTTAGTCTGGAAGCTCTGCTGAACCCTGTTCATTGTGAATTCCCCTATTGGAATTTTTTAATACCAGTGCATAGCTCGAAGCATCACAGAAACACACAAGGCACCACACAAGGACAAACTGACAAACAAGTGGTGGGACAAGAATTGATACAGTTGAATTATGGTACTGGTCAAGAATACTGCAAGTACCATACACTGCCAGAAGAAAAAACAAATCTGTCTTGGAAGAAATACAGCCAGAGAGCCACTTAGAAGCGAGGACATCCCAAGACTTCATCTCTCGTGCTTTGGGTATGTTATCAGGAGGACCACTCCTTGGAGAAGGACATCATTCTTGGTAAGGTAAGAGGGGTCAGTAAAAACTAAAATATCCCCACCAAGATGGACTGACACTTGGCTCCATCAATGGACTCAAACATAAGAACGATTATGAGGAAGGCGCAGGACCAGGCAGTGTTTTGTTTTATTTGCATACGGTTGCTATGAGTTGGAACCAACCCAAGTACCCAACAATAACAATAAATTATCTTCCCTATGAAGCCAATAACTATTATAAAGAAGCCCAAAACTTAAAGATCATTTTCCCTTTTCCCAGCAGTATTTAAATATTTTTTGTCTGAGGTTATTTCCTGTCTAGGTTAACTTTGTTAACTTTGACAAGAGAAATACCGTTTCTGAAAGCTGATGGTTACAGAATCTTTATCTGCTGCTCCTAATAGTCTGGTTCCGTAGCGGTTACAAATCGGGCTGTGAACTGCAAGGTCAGTAGTTCAAAACTACCAGCTGTTCCATGGGAGAAATGAGGCATTCTGCTCCTGTAAAGATTTACAGCCTCAGAAATCCTGTAAAGGGTCACTGAGTTGGAACCGACTCCATGACACACAGCCACCAGCCACCAAGAGTCTCAAGGACTTCATTCTTCTTCAATCAACTATCAACACTCATGAAAGCAGCAGTCAAGATATCAAACAACATATTGTATTAAGCCAATCTGCTGCACAAGACCTTTTTTAAGTTTTGAAGAGCAAAGATGTCAGCTTGAAGACTAAGGTGCGTCTGACCCAAGCCATGGTATTTTCAATAACCTCATATACATGCAAAAGCTGGACAGTGAATAAGGAAGACTGTAGAAGAATTGATGCTTTTGAGTTATGGTGTTGAAGGAGAATACTGAAAGTGCCGTGGGCTGCCAAAGAGCAGAGAGATCTGTGTTGGAAGAACCGCAGCCAGAGTGCTCCTTGGAGGCCAAAATGGCCAAACTTCGTCTCTCATACTTCAGACATATTGTCAGGAGAGACCAGTCGGTGGAGAAAGAAATCATGTTTGATAAGGTGGAGGGTCAGAGAAAAAGAGGAAAACCCCCAGCGAGATGGACTGGCAAAGTGACAGCATCAATGGGCTCAAGTGTGGCAACAATACTGAGGTTGGGCCAGGATCAGGCAGTGTTTCGTTCTGCTATGCATAGGGTCACTGAGTTGGTACTGACTCAATGGCACCTTACAACAACAACAATAGGCTCAAAGTGGGAAGAAGTGGGATGTTTTGGGAGGGGTGAGGGTGGCGGGAGGGCGACAGGTCCCAAAAGAAAGAATACAAAGGAGCACTGGCAAGCCTTTCCAGAAGAAGTTCTAAAATTTTCCTCACTCTTGACAAAGCCACCACAAACCATCACCCACATTAACATCTCACTCTTGACGCTACTGCTGGATAAAGCAACTCCATCTTGTAAGGAGAGAGGTCATTAGTGCTAACCTGTTCTTTCTTTTTGGTTAATCAATAGTTAACACCCACCCCAAGGGCTATTAGAGGAAGAAAGAAGTTCCTGAAGTTTCTCCAGAGATCAGCACAACTTGAGATAGGCATAATAAAGAAGTCCCTACCCCTTCCTCTTTCCCCTTTTTCCCAGGGGAGGCAGTCTTTGGAGGACAAGCAATCCCCTTTGCCTTTCTGTAGCTTCAATATACATTAAACCTTGCTTGCTTTACCATACCCCTGTCTCCAAGTAACTGGCTTTTCTCTGGCAGGCAGCAGAGCCGCCATTTGCTGTAATCACTTAAAAACGTCAAAAAAAAAAAAAGTCTTGTCAAACGGCAACATCTGAAAACATTCACATTAGACTGCTTTGAATACCTACCCTAAAGACTCCAGCCCTTAACCCCAGTCATCACCACCAAGCCTGTAAGTTACATCTCAGTGTCCTTCACCTGTAAGATTTTCACTTCTGCACCTTACCGTTGGCTATTTAAATCGCCCAGCACATCGGTCCACTATCATCCACGGGATTAGTGATGCATTTAATGATCAGCCTGGTTTCAAGTCCCAAATCATCTCTTCCATCCTCAGTTTCTTCTTCTGCTAAATGACCCAGCCAATACGTCTCCAAACACTTTAACTGTCTTAAAGGCGTAATTGCGTTCTCACCCCAGAACTCCGGCCCGTGGGAAGCAGTACTGCAGCTGCCCACTTCATACAAACATCTATAGCAGACCACACACTCCCAGAAACACTTATTTTCCTACTCGATGTCAGGCATGCGGAACACTAAACGGTTCGGCTGGCATTCAGAAGGCAGAGGTTACAGGAGTTCCCTGCTCGCTTGCGCTTGCACACATACATACCCCACCTCGGCTTAATGTGTTTGCCCGAGTTACTTGCCCTGTCATATATGTCTCCATTTTTCCCACTTGCATAATGGAGGAGAAAGAAATTATCACCATTCTTCCATGCGACACAAGAATACGCAGATTTTATATCGTTGCTATCACTGCTTCACTACTTAGATCTAACAACATTACTACAAAAGCAGTAATATTATGTGGTTTAAAATAATCTGATTTTTAGAGATTAAGTAAATTTCCCAAAAGTTTATAGCTGGTAAGTAACATGCCGGCTGGGGTGCTACCAGATCTGTCTCTAACTGCAAAAGGAAGGCAGAACGGGATAAAGCACAAAGACGCCATCCAAGTTATACTAGCCTCCACGAGAAAGGCCACAGGTGCTCAAGGTGAACATTCTCGCCCCACCCCATCTCGGATCAAGCGGATTGGCTAAAAGTGCTGGGGCGCTGCGAACCAGGCAAGCTGTGATAGGCTGTAAAAGTCGGGGGTGGGGCAGCCCATTTGCGTGACTCACTCGCTTATGCTGCGCGTCTATACGACGTTGACCTCCACCTAGTAGCGCTGCTTGTCGCTTGTTCTCGATGCGCTCGTTAACGGAGATGGGCTGGCTACAAAGACTACGGACTGCGGCAGCCCGCATAGGCTGGATCCCAAGTTTGCTCACTAGAACACATAGTTTTGTTCCAGCCGCCGCCATCCGCATTACTGCTGCCATTTTTGCAATGCAAGCGTACGCGCACTCCACCCTCAAGAATACGCATGTGCGTCAACTGTGGGCGCGGCGAGGTTTGCGCCTGCGCTCTCCACGGACGCGGACCTAACTGCGGGCTTGATGGGAAAACATGTCAGATCTGAAGGTGTCATGCTTAGAGGAAAAGTATGACTGGCCCTCCGATGTTGTTACCCGTTGACTGCGAAGAAGATAGGCTTACCCCTTGCTCTTATCTGGCTTCCTGGATCCCTCATTTATAATCCCACTTCAAGAAAATAATAGATAGCTGTTGCTGTTGTTAAGTGCTGTCGATTGGGTTCCAACCTATGTAGTGATCCTACATGGGGCTTCTGAGGAGCGGCGACCGGCTATGGGTTTCCTGAGAAGCAGCTGGTGGGTTTGAACCGCTGACCTTACGGTTAGCAGTCCAGTGCTTATCCTGTGATGCCACACCAGTAGATAGGTTGCCAACAATTAATGAACACTGCTTAGTGGGTGTTGTTTTAAGCATTTACCATGCATTAGTGTATCTAATCTTCCCAAATAATTCTCATATTACTCTGATTTCACAGGTGAGGCAAATGGAACACAAAAAGGTAGAGTAACTGATAAAAAGTCAAGACAAAACATGTGGATCCAAACACAGACGCCTACTAATTGCCAAGTACTGAGATCCTTACCCACTAGTGAGTAATTATCAAAGAGTGAACTCAGATATGTAAGCATCACCAGAGAGAAATTTCGAAATGTAAATTTTCGTACTCCACCCCAGATTTACAAAAGCAAAACAAACCTCTCGGGTGGAGTACGAAATTCTGTTTCACCAGCATTCTAGGTGATTGTGAAGCTTACTTAAAGGTTGAGAACCACTGTCCTAAGTATTTGGAGCTGAACTTTTGGAAGCTGGTTCATGTATTTCCACAGCTAGCGGACATCTTTTCAAGGCGAGGTGTGTATGAAGAGACTTTGAAAACGTTTGTGGGAAAATGGAATTGAAAGATAGAGGAACTTTTCCACGAACTATTTGACCTATGTCTCATTCTTAACCACGTAAAACTACTAACACTGATCATTAACCCCGCCAAGCTCCAGTTTGGGACCTTCATAAAATACGCACTCAGCCTTAACTATTCATGCAGTACAATCTAGCAAGAATTTTTGAGCACCTATTGTGTGCTAAGAACTGAATTGCATTTTCTGGAGTAGGACTTGTTCACCTAGATATGCAAAGGTAGTTTAGTGGTTATGAATCGGGCTGCAAACCTTAAGGTCAGCTGTTCGAAAACTACAAGCTGTTCCGCACAAGAAAGATGATGCTTTCTGCTGCCGTAAAGATTTACAGCCTTGGAAACCCGTACAGGGTCGCTATGAGTCGGAACCGACTCCATGGCACATCACGATGACAACAAAGGCCTGAAGGTGCAGGGACCACAGTGGTGAGCAGAACAGCCCTTTGGTAGCTTACTCTGCTGGGGAGAGAGCTAAACAATCATAACATAATGTAACTGCATGAAGCCCACCTGCCCGGCAAATGTGAAGTGTTCTGATAGCGTTGTTGTTGTTTGTTGTTAAGTGCCGTCGAGTCGGTTCCGACCCATAGCGACCCTGTATAGGGTTTCCGAGGGTGTAAATCTTTACGGGAGTAGAAAGCCTCATCTTTCTCCCGCGGAACGGCTGGTAGTTTCGAACCGCTGACCTTAAGGTTCGCAGCCCGATTCGTAACCGCTGCGAACCTCAAGGTCAGCAATTCGAAACTACCAGCTGTTTTGCGAGAGAAAGATGAAGCTTTTACTCCCGTAAAGATTTACAGCCTCGGAAACCCTGTACAGGGTCGCTATAAGTGGGAACCGACTCCATGGCACATAACAACAACAATCTGGTGTGGCGCTGTGAGTTAATGCATCAGACAGCAAAGTCATTTGAACTGCACTGTCAGTGATTCAAGCTCACCAGCTTCTCCTTGGAAACCCAATACAGGGTGACTATGGGTCGGAACTGACTCCACAGCGCATAACCACCACCACCACCACCATTCCTGGTATGGTGAACTAGTATGTTCAAACCTACCAGCTGCTCCTCAGAAACCCTATACAGGGTCTCTATGAATCAGAACCAACTTGACAGCACTTAACAACAACAATCTTGTGTGGTGCTGTAAGATAAGCAGTGGACTACTAACTGCAAGGTCAACAGTTCAAACCTACCAGCCACTTCTCAGAAGCCCTATAGAGGATATCCATGAGTTGGAACCAAAGCAGACAAGGACATCACTAAAAGAGACAATTATAGCCAATATCCCTCATGAACATAAATGTAAAAATTCTTAACAAAATTCTAGCCAATAGAACCTAACAACGTATCAAAAATAATACATCATGACCAAATGGGGTTCATACCAGATAAGCAGGGAAGGTTCAATATTAAAAAGCAATCAACGTAATCCACCTCATAACTGAAATAAAGGGGAAAAAAACACATGATCATATTAATCGATGCAGAAAAGGCATTTTTTATAAAATCCAACGACCATTTCTGATTAAAAAAACAACAACCACTCAACAAAATAAGAAGAGAAGGTAAAGGTCTCAACATAATACAAAATACAAAACGAACAAGGAGCTCTGGTAGCACAGTGGGTTTAAAACTCTGTCTTGCTAACCTCAAGGTCAGAAGTTTGAAACTACCAACCATTCCATGGGAGAAAGATGAGGCTTTCTGCTCCTGTAAAGATGTGCAGCCTCAGAAATCCTATGCAGGGTCGCAATGAGTCAGAACTGACTCCACAGCACGCCACCACCACCACCACCACCATATGAAACCAACAGCCACTAAGACACACCTAACCCAAGTTATGATATTTTCAGTAGCCTCATGTGAATATGAACAATAAATAAGGAAAACCTTAGAAGAATTGATGTATTGGAATTATAGTGTTGGCAAAGAATATTGAAATTACCATTGACTCTCAGAACAAACAAATCTGTCTTGGAATAAGTACAGTGAGAATGCTCCTTAGGAACCAGGATGGTGAGACTTTGTCTCTCGTACTTTGGACACATTATCAGGAGGGACCATTCCTTGGAGAAGGACATCATGCTTGGAAAAGTGGAGGTCATCGAAAAAGAAGACTGCCAACAAAATGGATGACCTAATAGCAGCAACAATGGGCTCAAACATGAAAACACCTGTGAGGCTGGTGCAGAACCGGCCTTTGTTTTGTTCTCTTGTGCCTAGGGTTGTATGTTATTGTATAACAATAACAATAGAAAGGTTGTATTGTTATTGTATAACAATAACAACAATGAAACATGTAACATTCAAATTGTTAATATTAAGGAAAAGTACAAAATCTCCAAAATAAGCTAAAGCTTGCTAATTTAAAAAAAAGACAACAGTCGACTCTCACAATGGAGAGAAACTGAAGTTATTCCCCTTGTGAACAGTAAGCAGGCAAGAAGACTGTTTATTGCCACTCCTATTCAATAGACAAGTAAATAAAAATACAATTTTATTAGTGGTTACCAAGGGCAAATAACGGAGCTTTGGTAGCGTAGTGGTTACGAATCGGGCTGCGAACCTTAAGGTCAGCGGTTCGAAACTACCAGCTGCTCCGTGGGAGAAAGATCAGGCTTTCTACTCCCATAAAGATTTACACCCTCAGAAACCCTGTACAGGGTCGCTATGGGTGGGAACCAACTCGACGGCACTTAACAACAACAACAACAATTCAATACTGTGCTGGAAGTCTTAGCTAGAGGTATAATGCAAGAAAGGGAAATTGAAAGCATCCAAGTTAAGTACTAGACTGTAACCAAAAGGTTGGCTGTTCAAACCCCTCAGCTGCTCCTCAGAAACCCTATACAGGGTTGATGTAAGACAGAACTGACTCAACGGCATTAAACAACAAATTAACGAAGAAGTAAAACTTTATTTGATGATAACATGATCTTATACTTAGAAAATCCCAAAAACTCAGCAAGAAATTTATTGGAGCTCATTGAAACATTCAGAAAATGGCAGGGTACAAGATCAACATACAAAAGTCAGTTGGATACCTTTATAAAGAGAGTTTGGGGGGTGGGGGGGGAATCAATAAAATAATAGCATTTGCAAGAGTCACTCAAAAGACTAATTACTTAAGAATAAATCTAACCAGACAAACAAAAGACTTATACAAAGGAAGCTATAAAACACTAGTACAAAAAAAAAAAAAATACAAAGAGACCTACAAAAATGGAATAATAGGAAGAAACTTCCAGTAAGATGGTAGTAGACAGACATACTACATGGACCCCCTACAACAAAGATACGAGAGACCAAATAAAAGAGATACAGATGAAAATCCTGGAACTGTGAACATCAGAAGAAAGGTTATAGAGGTGGATGGAGTGCTTATTGGGAGTAGAAACTAAGCAGGGACAGCAAGAGAGGGAGACTGACTGGTGCACAGCTAGCCAGACCAGCATGACCACCCTGAAACGCTGTGAGCAGCTTTGGCAACAGAAGGTGGCCAAGCAGGGCAGAGTTACTTAATCGACTGGAAAGATGTGATTCCTTCTTTTTTTTCCCTTGCTCCCCTGGTGAACAAAGGTGTGGCCAGCTCCCACCCTCATCTATACCCAGCACAGCACCCATTCTCTGGGAGTTTGGAACCAAAGAGTTGGGAGCCATGCTACTGTGAGGTGGGGAATGCCTGTGCTACTTTGGTGTGCCTTTTTGGTATCTGGATTCAGGTGGGCTTTCCTTAGGACCTACAGAACCCACAGAGCCACCAGACCAGCAATTAACCAGTCACCCTGCCTCCAGTTGCCCTGTGATTCTAACAGACACTGAAACTAACTTCATCAAGGGCCTTCATGAACTACTTCTGTATTGAGTGCCTGAACATAGATCATACTGAGACCAATAGGAACTCAATCAAGGGCCAGGAAATCTGCTGTCACACCCAGTGCACACATACCTCTTTAGATCCTTGGCTTGCAGGAGCTCCTCCCCCACTCCCA